CTGGCCTAGGGAGGATTTTTAAACTGGGTTTTTTAGAAATTTTAATTATCACAACATAAAAATTTTGGTTTTAATTTGGTTTTATTCGGTGGGGTGTGTGGGTCTTTCTTTGTTTTAATAATGTTGTGAGCCGCCCTGAGTCCTTCGGGAGAAGGGCGGGATATAAATTGAAATAATAAATAAATAAATAAATAAATATAATAATTATTGGATTATTATAATACTTGACCACATTTTTTAAGTGCTCAACAACTGGCCCATGTTTACAGTTGTTTGCAGTGTCTTAAGGTCATGTGATTGTGATTTATATTTTTTGCTAAATGTAAATATTTTTGTATCTCTTAAAGACTGTGGCAAAAAAAGGTACTGAAATCTGGTCACTGTGGGTGACCAGCTTTACGACTATCACAACTTATAACCATAATAAGCAGGCTCCATTATATCACTACCTGTGTTTTAGTCTGAAAACAGATCTACTGTAAATTTGATGTTTTTATTTGTAAGCAAGTAAATTAATTCCAGTTCATGATGTTGAATATTTCCAGAGAACATGCAGCATTCAAATGAAATGAAATGCCAGAGAGATACATGTAATGGAATTTGTTAAGCCATACTGTTTTTAATGCGGCAAATAACTGCACACATCACATCCATATTTTACGCTAAGGTATAAAGGATTCATCAGGTATGTCCACAGAAATAAGAACCATCCACTCCTACAACAAACAATATAACAATTTTTTATTTAGATCCATTTGGACAAGGCCTTTGGCAAAGCACTCGTCATAAACATGAAAGGTAGCTGTTAAAAAGAAAAACAAAAACAAATTTGCTAGCAAACACATTTTAAGGTTTGTCAGAAATGTGTGATCAAAAGGTCTTTTCAGGACAATGAAAAGTAGCTAATATATTGCAGTAGGAATCTAAATAATAGTTGGAATTAGTCCTGTGATCCTAAAAGAGAACAATATGACCTGAGATTCTTCAAACATATGCATTCTCTACCCCAGTTTCCTATGGGAAATGATTTCTGTAAATGAATCTGAAAAGCATGTGAAGGAGGCATTTCCACCACCACTGGGAGACCATTTAAACATGAGCGAGCAGTGTGCGGCAGTAGCCCCAAAAGCTAATACAATCCTTGGTTGTATAAACAGAGGCATAGAATCAAAATCATGTGAAGTATTAGTACTGCTTTATAAAACCTTAGTAAGACTACACCTGGAATACTGCATCCAAGTATACTGCATTGGCCACATTACAAAAAAGATGTTCAGACTTTGGAAAAAGTGGAGAGAAGAGTAACTAGGACAGTAATGGCAAACCTTCTAGAGACCAAGTGCCCAAACTGCAACCCAAAACCCACTTATGCATCGTCGGGTGCCGGGTGGGTGTGACCCATCGGGTGGGCGTGGCTGCGGTGGTAACAGCAGACTGGGTGGGACTAAAAAGTTCAATCAATCAATTCCAACTTTACAAGATTTTTTTTTTCCCCGCAAGAAGTTGAAATTGACTGATTGATTGAACCTTTTTTTTGTACACGGCGGCGGAGGCCTAAAGTGAAAAGGTTTTATAAAACCCAGCTGAAGGCCTAGGACTGGAGCGACGCCGTGCATGCCCACAGAGAGGGCTCTGAGTGCCCCCTCTGGCACCCGTGCCATAGGTTCGCCACCACTGAACTAGGATGATTAAAGGCTCAGAGACTAAAACATATGAGGAATAGTTGCAGGAATTGGGTATGGCTAGTCTAAAGAAAATAAGGACTGGGGGGCAGGGTGGGGCGACATGATAGCAGTCTTCCAGTATTTGAGGGGCTGCCACAAAGAGGGGGAGTCAACTTAATTTCCAAAGCACCAGAGGGCAGGACAAGAAACAACGGATGGAAACTAATCAAGGAGAGAAGCAACCTGGAATTAAGGAGAAACTTCCTAATAGTGAGGACAATTAACCAGTGTAACGGCTTCCTTCCAGAAATCGTGGGCGCTTCATCACTGGAGATTTTTAAGAAGTGCCATTTGCCTGAAATGGTATAGATTCTCCTGCTTGAGCAGGGGGCTGGACTAGAAGACCTCCAAGGTCCCTTCCAGCTCTATACTGATTGATTGATTGACCCCCATTTGCAGCATTACAGCTGACTTCCCAATTCAGAGCATCCTGCAGGGCTGGAAGTGGCCAGGATAATAATGTTGACATCCAAAGGATCCACTGATTTCGGCTTAGTTTCATATTATGGGAAGGAAATGTACCATGCATAACAAATCTGGATCTGTGGATTCTTGTGTGAACTGTACAACTCCTAAATCTTTAAAATGAATGGTATATACAGTATTAACTGCAATATTATTATTATTATTATTACTATTATTATTATGTTTCATATTATTAAATTAGTTTTCTCTCTTGAAGATCCCCTTCTTATGTTAATTTCTAGGGAAGGTTCTACAGCAGACTAAGATTATTTATGGCACATTGATGACTTATTTTGGGCAATACTCACATTTATGCAGTCATGTCGGTTTAGTGGTTGAGGCATCAGGCTAGAAACCAGGAGGTTGTGAGTTCAAGTCCTGTCTTAGAAACAAAGCAACTGAGTAACCTTGGGCCACTCACTCACTCTCAGCCCCAGGAAGGAGGCAATGGCAAACCACCTCTGAAAATTATGAGGCCACTCACTGTGTGTTCCGGCTTGTCAACTGTAAGCTAAAAACCCACAAAACCTTTCAGCAAATATTCCCAAGCCAAATGCCTGTAATATTACTAGTAAGATAAACTTGTGCAGCTATTTTGCCTTTTTTCTTCACTGGGTATTTTCCCCAGAAGAGGTTACAGGAAAACATGGGAAATATATGTATAAACAGAAAACCGTAAAAACCCATAAGTAAAGCTGGGCATTTAAATATGAGCCAGCCGTGTGCTGCAGCTGCCAAAAAGGCCAACACAGTGCTAGGCTGCATTAACAGAGGGATAGAATCAAGATCACGTGAAGTGTTAATACCACTTTACAATGCTTTGGTAAGGCCACACTTGGAATACTGCATCCAGTTTTGGTCACCGCGATGTAAAAAAGATGTTGAGACTCTAGAAAGAGTACAGAGAAGAGCAACAAAGATGATTAGGGGACTGGAGGCTAAAACATATAAGAAACTGCTGCTGGAATTGGGTATGTCTAGTTTAATGAAGAGAAGGATGAGGGGGGACATGATAGCAGTCTTCCAGTATCTCAGGGGCTGCCCCAAAGGAGAGGGAGTCAAGCTATTCTCCAAAGCGCCTGAAGGCAGGACAAGAAGCAACAGGTGGAAACTAATCAAGGAGAGAAGCAACCTGGAACTAAGGAGAAACTTCCTGACAGTTAGAACAATTAACCAGTGGAACAACCTGCCTCCAGAAGCGGTGAATGCTCCAACACTGGAAGTTTTTAAGAAGAGACTGGACAGCCATTTGTCTGAAATGATATAGGGTTTCCTGCCTGAGCAGGGGGTTGGACTAGATGACCTCCAAGGTCCCTTCCAACTTAATAATAATAATAATAATAATAATAATAATAATAATAATAATAATAATAATAGTTGTTGTTGTTATTATTATTATTATTATTATTATTATTATTATTATTATTATTTGCACAATAAAAACATCAACTGGATGCAATCACAAACAGACCCAAACAGCATTCAGAACCTAACCATCCCCCCCTCAAAGTTTCAACTCTGCACTCAACATTTATTGAGAGATACAGTCATGTTTAAACATAGGGCAGGTCCA